AAGAATTCCAGTGTGGTTACCCTTGAAACCGAATTCTCCAATACCATAATGGAGAATTTTCCTAATGTTTCTACTTATTGTCAACGCCTCAAGTCTCTTGTTGATTAGTTGAAGAATGTTGGTGCTCCTGTTTCAGAAAGTCGCCTTGTCATACAACTAGTTTAAGGTGTCGACACCTTGATCAGACAAAGTGATCCTCTTCCTCTCTTCTATCAGGCCCGTTCTATGCTAACTCTTGAAGAAACGTGTTTTACTAAGGAGGCTACTATAGGGATACATTCGGCCATGATTGCATCCTTGCAATCAACAGATTCTTTTGTTCCTAAGTCTAACTCAGATCACACGCATAACAGAGGGAAGCAATCTGGTAACCGGAAAACTGGTAGCCGGAAATCTAACAATGCTGGCGGTTGTGGGTCTAGTGGCGGGTAATGCGGCAGTAGCAGCGGTCGTACACAACAACAATAACAAGGTTTTACACCTTGGAATTCGCAGCAACGACAAACATGGAGATATAATTCTTGGGTTTGGTTTCCTCAATGGGCTTCTCCACCTTGCCTATATCCAACACAAGGGTGGGCTCGTGGTCCAGTACCTACCAAACAACAACATGCTGGTCTTCTTGGGCCTCGTCCACAACACCAATAAACCTTTGTAGCTTCACCAAATGACCAGTCAACAAACATATGCTCCAACAGATATTTCAGAAGCTATATAGACTATGTCTATCAATCCACTTGATCCAACGTGGTACATGGATACCGGTGCAACATCCTACATGTTGTCTTCCAATGGTAACTTCTGTCTTATTTTAATTTGAGCAATCATCCTAATGGAATTATTGTAGGAAATGGTCATACTATTCCAATTTCTGGTTATGGTCACACTTCATTACCTAACCCTAATCCTCCCTTGTCCTTGAAAAATATTCTACATGCTCCCAAAATTATTAAAAATCTTATCTTTGTTAGAAAGTTTACTTCTGACAATTGTGTAACCGTTGAATTTGATCATTTTGTGTTTTTTGTTTAGGGTTTTCAAACAAGGAGACGAATCATGAAATATGATAGTCAAGGTGACCTTAATCCTCTTACTACAACAAAAAATAATCAAGCTTCTGCTCTTAGTGCCATCTCTCCTTCTCTTTGGCATGATCATCTAGGTCATCCGGGCGCTCAAGTTTTGGATGCTCTTAGATATAATAAAAGCATTGCTTGTAATCGTATTTCTTCTTGGGATTTTCTAATATGTTCCCTAACCGCGCATATAAGAAACATTAATTACGAAAAATATTACCATAATTAAATATGAAATGTATTTATTATGGAAATTATTAATGTATCTCCCATTTAATTATGGTGATAATGTTTTTAATTAATGAATTTCATATTTAATTATGGTAATATTTGTTATAATTAATGTTTCTTATATGTGCCCTTAGGGCACATGTTAGAAAAATCCCTTTCTTTCTTCTAGCATTTGTCGTTCTTGTGTGCTTGGAAAACATGTTAAGTGACTGTTTGTTGGATTTACTTCTAATACTACTATGCCATTTCACATTATTCATAGTGATCTTTGGACTTCTCCTATTTTGAGTTCCATGGGGCACAAATATTACGTTTTGTTCTTGGATGATTATTCTAATTTTTTATTGACTTTTCCATTAGCCAAAAAATCGGAAGTCTTTGACAAATTCCTAGAATTTAAATCTCATATGATCACTCAATTTGAACCTAATATTAAAATGCGCAGTGTGATAATGGGATGGAGTTTGATAATGATCATTTTCGATCTTTTTGTCGAACTCATGGCATGTTGCTTCATCTTTCGTGCCCATATACCTCTTCTCAAAATGGTAATGCTAAAAGAAAAATACGTACGATCAATAATATCACTCCTAACCCTGTTGCAGGCCTTCGTGACCCGAATTGGAAAATGGCCATGCATGATGGTATGACGCTCTTATTAAAAATAAGACATGGGAGTTGGTACCACGCCCACCCAATGTTAATGTTATTCGTTCAATGTGGATTTTTACTCATAAAAAAACCTAACGGTGTGTTTGAGCGGCATAAAGCCCGTCTTGTAGGTGATGGAAAAACTCAACAGGTTGGTATAGATTGTGGCGAAACTTTTAGCCCATTCGTGAAACCAGCTACGATTCGTACGGTTCTTTCTCTTTCACTCTCCAAAGCATGGCCCATTCATCAGTTAGATGTGAAAAATGCATTTCTTCATGGTGAGTTACAAGAAAAGGTTTATATGCATCAACCGTTGGGTTATTGGGATCAAAATCTTACGGATCATGTTTGTCTTTTGCGTAAGTCCTAAAATGGACCGAAGCGAGCACCCCGTGCATGGTATAAGCGATTTACAGATTATGTCATTTCTCTTGGTTTCACCAATAGCAAGTGTGCCAAATCTTTATTTATCTATCGAAAGGGATCTGAGCGTATGTTTTGTTATATGTTGATATTATTCTTACTGCTTCATCCAATACCTTACGTCTTTCTATCATGGGGTTTCTTAGCTCGGAATTTGCTATGAAAGATCTTGGTCCATTGAATTATTTTCTTGGTATAGTTGTTTCTTGACATAAGGGTGGTATGCTTCTTTCACAACGCAAGTATGCCGAACAAATAATTGAGCGAGCTGGAATGTCATCATGCAAGCCTTCCACTACACTGGTTGATACAAAGCAGAAGGCTAGTGCTAGTTTGGGTGCTCGTTTTGAGGATCCTACTCTATATAGGAGCCTCGTCGGGACACCCCAATACCTTACATTCACCCGTCCTAATATCTCTTACGCGGTTCAACAAGTATGTTTACATATGCATGATACGAGAGTTGATCATATGCAATCCCTCAAACGCATTATCAAGTATATTCAAGGTACAATTAATCATGGCATCCTTCTCTACACGTCTTCCATTTCATCACTGATTGCATATACGGATGCGGATTGGGGTGGTTGCCCGGATACACGACGTTCTACGTCCGGTTATTGTGTATTTTTGGGTGATAATTTGATTCCATGGTCGTCTAAGCGACAACCTACTCTTTCTCGATCAAGTGTCCGAATTAAGGTATTTTGGGTGATAATTCCTAGAATTAAGGTTTGATTCCTTTGTATTAGGCATGATTGGCCCTATACTGTGTTGTCCATGTTTTCCATTACACAAACCATCTTAATATGTGCTAAAATGAGATGATGATTCAAAGATGCAAAAGAAGTTCAGTTATATATTTAACCATTTTAACAAAAAAAAAACAAATGATGAAGCTTTTTTTAAATGAAATACGAGCTCAAGTAACACACCTTACGATGAAAAACCTCCCTTGCACCACCAGGATAAAGTAACGCGTACGACTTTCTTTCTAACAATTTGAACAAATTTCTTCCAGAAACTGGAATTCCACCAAACAGCTTCATTATATCAACACATGGCATCAGAATATGTTCATATTCAACACCTAATTGGAAAATCTCCGGATGGGCTAAACCATGAAGCACTGATTTCTTTTCTCTTATGAACTCTGAGACAAGTACAAAATAATCAAATCCCCAAAGCATATGATTACCAACTATTAATACAGGCCCTTCATCTGGAATCCCTGCAAGACCTCTCACTATCTTTCCATCCTCCATTGTTGAGAACATTGCTGCACCCATGAAAACCCGAAACCACCTACAAAAAGCTCCAAAGTTACATCTTATCCTATAAATAATATCGACTTCTGTTTTTTTAAAACTCAAAATGAGAACAAATACAAAGAAAAGAAAACAAGTTAATTTTATTAGATTACCAAGCCTCCATTGGTAAGGTTTTGAACTCTGTCATACTTGGAGGCAAAAAGTCTCTAAAAATATCAAACTTTGAAGAATGTCGATACATCTGAGAAGCTTTAATAGTGGATAACACGTTAACACCACTCTCCTACACCAACAAAAGGCACTCACATTATTGTATTATATGTCCTATGCTCATTGCTTTACACAAGAAAATTGAAAAATAAATAAATAAATAGATCTTAATACCAATAAGATTGCATGTCCATTTTCCTCAAACACACGTATGTTGCAGTGCTTCAGTAATCCTGAAAGCCTATGAGCCTCGTTTTTACTGGGTAAGAGCTTATCCTTGCCACTGAATGCAACTATCTTAATATATGTAGTAACAAGAAATAATCTATGATTTGAGTTAGTTAAAGAAGAAAGAAATAAACCTAGCAAGAACTAGTACTTGAGCTGTAATAGCATGTAAACGGGAATTAGCATAGGCAGCAGCTGATTCAAGTAGCTTTATCCTCCATTTAAGAGTGTCTTTTGGTATTATTGTTGTCATCATCTATCAGGAATACGTATAAAAAATGAGAACCTTGATGATAAAATTGGACAGAAATGAATTAATATAGCACAGTCGAATTGAAGAAACTAACAATAAACGAAGTTAAGGAACAAGTACATGACTCATATCTCCAGTAAGATTTCCAAGCAATTGCCCAATATGAATATTAACCATCTCCATCTTTACATAATCACCTGAATAAAAATCTTGGAATAAATTAAAGAAAGATGATGGATTGCAAAGTAAAGATGTGTGATTACATACACTTATCAAAACTAGAAAATTCACCAAGATATGAATCAAGATTGAATATTTAGAAAACAATAATAGGTTCAATAAGGAAACCTTTTGGTGCCTTGGTCACCGATTGAATTATACTACATTTTAGAGATAACGGATAATATTGATGATTAAGTTAAAAACTAAGGAGTATTTTATACCATATAGTAGTTCCCAATCATCATCAATATGTATGTATGTATCATGTATGTATGCATACATGCATGTATCACTACAAGAAGAACAACGTTTACAAACTATCCAGACTACATATTTCGTCGGCAAAAGCTAAGCTATACCGACGACATGTCAGTATAGAGTTTTCCAACTTTGACCATATGTCTTTGACCAGAAAAGCTATGCTGACGACATGTCGTCTGCATAGACTCGGCGGGAAGGGGCAAAATATTGGCGGTATGTCAAAAACCTATGTTGACAACATGTAATCGGTATAGGATATTAAAAAAAATATGTTCGATTTATTTATATTCATTGTCGCAGAAAATCAAGACGTCGTTTTCGTCAACCTAGGCAGACAACATGTCGACTGTACAAGGTATTAAAAAAACAATTTCGATTTATTTTTAATCCACGTCGCAGAAAAGGAAGACGATGTCGTTTCGTAATCCTATACTGACAGCATGTCGTCTGGAAAAAGTGGGATCGATCAACGTGAAATATCTGTCCAAACGATGTCTGGAAAACCCTTTTTATTTTATTTATTTTTTTAATGCCGTAAAGTGGAACGATGTAGTTTTGTTTTACCTACACCGATGAATTGTCGTCGGTATAGGTTTCCATGTAACAAAACGCGCACCCTGCATTCATTTTCCAGTCGCTTGCACTTTCTTTTCCCTCTCAAGCTTCGGCGACACAGGTGATTTCCGGCCACTCCGGTTCATCGGTGACCTAAAGGTAAGGTTCTTGGTCCTTGATTTCTTCTTAATTTGTAATAGCTTGAGTTTTTACTTCGATTTTGGGGAACTTATTTCCGGTTGTTGGAGCCCTAAATCACACCCTTCATCACCGTCGGCCGGCAACAACCTTCACCACCACCGTAGAAAACGATTTTTGGTGATTCATCTATCTTCACTACCGATTTTGAGGTAAGTTTTTTGATTTTTTTTCCTATTAACACACCACAAGATGTGAATTAAGTTTATGATTTTTTTTCTTTTTCTTTTCAATACAACATGATATATTATTTTTCTCATATTTTGTTTTGGATGATTGCTTATATATATATATATATACTAGGTGTAAGACCCGTGTATTACACGGGTTTGTTAAAAAAAATTAATATAAAATTTTGAACATCAACCAATTATTAAAGTAATACAATACTAATACTTATAAGTAACACTTTATTGTGTAAGTATATAATTGAACCCAAATTACATATTTTGACAGTAATTTTATGAAAAATATCCTCACTCCAGTTTAATAATTATAAAATTTCCAAAAGATTCATTACCTCCCTCACCAGTTTCACTATTAAAAAAAAGAATAGAGGGTATATATCTCATCACAACTCCTCCAAGATTTTATATTTGAATCATAAATGTCAAAATACAAAATGGGTCAAGAGCGATGAAGCAAATAATTCATTGGTGTACAGGAGGAATTAGAACAAAGATTGGATAAACAATAATCGAAAAGAGATAAATAAGTCCCTGATGTTACTGGTTTGACAATTTTGAGCCTTGTTGTTGCTTGATCTTTTTTTTTTTTTTTTTTTTTTGAGGATTTAAGCAACAAGAAACAAAGTATTCATAGGAGTAGCAACATTGTGAAACTATATTGCAGCCTTGGCAACTGTATTGATCTCTTTTTAGATGACATCAGTGTGATTTTGTATTTATCTCTTTCAAACCTTCATTGTTACCATTTTTCATACCATTTAAATTCCAAAAAAGAAACCGAAATACATTTTTCTATTTTTACTGCATATATATTTAATACATGGGATCAACTCCTTTTCACCGTCCCTACCCAAACAGACCAGAATAAACATGGCATGTTTGATATTATTCAAAAAAATCATATTACCGTTTTTTCCATATTATAACACAAAAACTTCAAAACAACAAACCGATTCCTTTTCTCCCCTGCATGTCACCAAAACAAAATAATCCGCACTAACTTGGAATATATATTAAAATTGAAATAAAAAAGAGTATATTTTTGTTACACCAAATCATTAATACATCAAAATTCATAAAAGGACCGAAAAAACCTTTTATAATTTGATTGCACCAATCCTTGAGAAGATCATGATAAACAAATAATTCATTGGAGTAAAAATATCATTTTAACTGCATATTGGTAATTGTCAACCAACTTTGGATCCATTTTAACATATTTTGACAACAATTTTATAAAAAATGTGAGATGCTATTATTTGTAATAAAATGAAGATGATAACATGTACAGAGAAAAAAAAAACATAAATAGTCCTGTGAAGGTTTGTGGATTTTTGTTGTATTGGACGACAAAAGAAGTCATGCACAAATGATTTTATACGACAAATCAGAATTGTATGCAGATGAAGCATAAGAGATAACCTTTGTTAGCAGTAGTTGTAGGTGATGATGAATTTGCAGAAGAATCTATATCAAAAGCGGCAAAGTAATCTCGATTTTGAGATGCAAAACAGATTAAATACTGTAAAATATACATATATATGGAATTTATATTAGCATATATCATATGATTTTCTGAATTCTTTTTTCACAGAATAATGTATACATATATATGGTAATAGAAATTGAATTAATTTGAAATTTAAATTTCATTCATTATTAGTGGTGCATGATTACAGGTTCCAAAAATATAGGCATAGTTTTCCTATAATTATATGGACTACAATTTAGGAAATCAAGAAAATGCCATTATAATTATGATTTGCATATATTTAGGAAATCAAATCAAAAATCAAAAATTGTATATACGTGTGTTTGTCAAGAATATGAGCATTATGTATTGATTAGGTGGCATCTTAATAAATTGACAAGTGGAATAATAGGTAAATCAAAAAATCAAGAAAATACTATATGTCCAATTGCATAAGAATTTGACAAGTGGCAATAGGATTCTTATTTATTAGGGAGGATATATATATATATATATATATATATATATATATATATATATATATATATATATATATATATATATATATATATGCATTTTGAGGTATGAAAGTGTGTTTTGGCATGACAATGAAAATGAAGTTAGACATGATTTGTTTATGGTCATTGTGGTGTATTGGCATGAAAATGAAATTAGGAATGATGTTTGGTTTTGTATTTAGATGTATACATTTGTATGAATTTGAAATTTGATGTCTAAAATGTTAGGTGCTATAAGGTATGATTGTATGAAATTGGATGTATTGCTTAACTGTTTGAAATTGGAAATTGAGTTGGATGTATTATATGTTTAATTGTATCAAATTGGAATATGAAAGTGGTATTGAATGTCTAAAATGAAATGAAAATTGGAATTGAATGTATTGTATACATGTATGATTATGTGATATTTAGGTTTAATAGTTTGAGTGTACATAAGATGAAGTGATAAAGTTCTTAATTGATAAGTTATAGTTTTTGTATTTAGATACTATTGTTTGTATTGTAAAGTGCTTAATTGATAAGTTAAATTACTTGATAAGTTGAAGTATTTGTACTTCCATGTATGATTTAAAAGTTTATTATGTTTTTATTTTCGTGTTAATATGGTTTCAAAGTGCTTAATTTTGTTAGTGACTTAATGTTGGTCACTACGATTTTAGCTTAATTAGGTTATTAATAGCAACGTACTTTTAGTAATTATAAAATAAAGTTGAATTAATTTTAAAAAAAAAAACAATAAAAAGAAAATATTAAATTAATTGTAAAATCAAAGTAAATTTGTTTTAAAATCAAATTAATACTAATATTAAAATAAAATCAAATTAATTATAAATCAAATTAAATTAGTTTTATAATCAAATTAATATTAATATTAATATTAAATAAAATTAATTATAAAATCAAATTAAATTAATTTAAAAAAAAAACTAATAACAAAAAAGAAAATACTAAATTAATTATAAAATCAAATTTAATTAATTAATAAATCAAATTAATATTAATATTAAAATAAAACTAATTATAAAATCAAATTAAATTAATTTAAAAAATGAAACTAATAACAAAGAAGAAAAAATAAATTAACTATAAAATTAAATTGAGTGAATTTGAAATCAAATTAAATTAATTATCAAAATCAAATTAAATTAATTTAAAAAATTAAACTAATAACAAAAAAGAAAATATTAAATTAATTATAAAATCAAATTAAACGGTATATTTTTTAAACCAAAATATTATGTAATATAATATTAAAAGTACAATGTTATAATAGAAAATAAACAAAAATATGATGTTATAATTAACAAATTATGATACTTTTGTTAATTATAACGTTATAATTTTGTTTATTTTCTATCATAACATTGTATTTTTAAAATTATGGTTTAAATAACGTACGTATAATATGATTTTCTTATTAAAACATGTTGAATTATTGATTTTTAGTTCAAGTTTCTTCTTCATAACCATTGTGAATACTCTATCCATATGTCTGATTTTTACTTCTCGAGTATATATTTTTATATACTTGTGAATACTCTATCCATTCTCAAGTATATATTTCTTTATATAGCCTAAATACAATCTAACTTTCGATAATTATATATATAATATAATTTTTAATAATTAGACAATAATGACGATCGATAAGAGTTGGATTGGAGAGAACCGAATGTCTTCAAAATACTTTGAAGATCTTAAAAACTTTATGAAGATTGTTGAATGGATTTAAGCTACAATTCGACTCCAAGAATAAACACTCCAGTAAACACGCCGACCCACAAGTAATGAGATGTTTGATGTAATTGATGATGTTATGGCAGAACAA